TCCTTATTAGCTATTTTCAGGATAATAAATTAGCCTAAACAAACATCTTCCCCATGATAATACACAGACTTTTTCTCCTATGGCTTATTACACATCCGAGCCATTGAAAACTCCTCTAATTTATCTCTTTAAGATGGATGCTTTGATTTATATTCTTCTAAACTAGAAAAGTCTTTAATGTCGTTAAAATTGTTAACATCAGCAATAACATAATTGATCTTAATATATTTTAATTCTATATTGAATAATTCTTTTAAAGGAATCTTTTCAAATAAAAATGTTGTGAAATTACCTTAATTCGATATGGTTTTTAATAAGTTGTTTTTAAACATTGAACACTCAGTAGTGATAAAGTGAGATTCCAAGTCTTAATGTTTACCAAGTCTAGCACATCCGATAAAACATTGTTTTAGTTTTGATAACAATTCTTCTGAAGGGCCACTTATTGCAATTGTAGCAAATTTTTAACATGACGAATTTTTCAAGAAACATAAGGTTGAATCCTTTTATATTTCCCCTTTTTCAGAATTAACTTTTGGAAACTGTTTAAAAAAAACCTTCTCACATGTACCAACTATTTATTCCTTTCTTTCAATGCATTATTTTAATATAGACAGGCTTATAAATTTAGCATTTGTACACAATTTAACTCTTTAAAGTACTTTCTTTTTAACATTTGTCAAAACAGTTATTTTTTTCTTGAGACACTCATCCAATGCAATTTTGTTAGCTCCCTTTTCAACTAAAATCAAATTTGGTTCATAATTTTTATAAATTGAATTAATCGAATCAACTAATAGCTTTTTTTCATTTTAAATATAATCTTCTAATTGATTTTATGAACCATCCATGTCAAAATCCCCAATAATTATAATGATGGATGGTTTATTAATTTCAGATTACATTTATTTTAGTGCAACATTCTTTCGAAAGATAACTCCAGGAAAAAAACTGGTTAATTATTCATCATGGTGATCAATAATTTTTATTTTCATAAAATGATTAATATCCATAAGCTTTGTGTTTAAAGAATGAAATTAAATTTCTTAAACACACTGAGTTATCAAGGTTTTCATTTTTGACTTCCAAAATTCAATAACTTTTTCATATGTTTTATTTGGCTAAAGAACATTCTGTAGTATATATTCACATATTTTTTCTAATTAGAAGGCACTTTTTTCTTATAAAATTGGTAATTAATCTTTTGCAATTTCAGACTCTTCCAAAAATTCAGATATGTCTTCCTTCTCTTAATTTATTTCTAAGAGTGTGTCATCCTCATCCTAAAATTATTAAACCTCATTTCCTTTGGCGATTATGCTTTTTGAAGAAGTAAATGTGGTCACACTTTCAAATTATTTCGAAGTATTTCTAGAATGAGAATTTCCTTCTTTTCTTAGGGTTACTTTCAAAGTGGACTCTTCATTATCAACAAAAAATCCTTTGTCCGCTATCAATTAACTAATTTTATCATAACAACGTCTGCAAAATCGAATTTTTTTCTCGCCTTCATTAGGAGGCCCATCAAAAAAGTGGTTTGAGCAACTACATGGTTATATCTATTTACTCTTAACAAAAAATATATCCACATCTTCTACAATGGTGCTTACGTCTAAATAAGGCATTAAATTTATTATCACACATTCCACATTAACTAATTTCTTGATCGTCCTTCCACTTTTTCTTTGAAATTAATTCATTCTTTATTATATCAAATCGAGAAGCCTATTTCATTTAATTATTTTTATAATCAAAAAATTTAATTTTTCAAAAGACTTGCTTTCAGGCATCAAATTTGGTAAAAGAAATAAATAAATCAATCTAAATTAATTCTTGTAATTTTCCAAATGTATTAATAACATATTATAATTTTGATACATTCAAATTTTCATAATCTATTCAGCTTCTTCCACTTCTTGTGTTATATGATTTGCTTTTATTGTAATCTGATGAATTTTTTGCAGCAGGATAAGAATTACTCATTGAATTAACATTTGTTGAAGTTAACGCTTATTATTGGTTATTATAAGGGATATTCGAAAATGGATTTGAATTTGTAAAGTTAACGAAAATATTAGGATTAGTCTAAAATTGATAATTTGGAATTGTAAAAGTAGATTGCACATTGCTATTATATTGGTGAATAATGCCCTCATTGACTAGCTAATATAATTTTGTGTAGTCTAGGTTGAATTTTTACTCGGTTGATTATTGTTTTATTGGTTGATCTTATTGTAAAGTATTTTTTCCTTCCTTTTATTTTTATTCTTCTAGTAATCTTTTTTTTTATGAATCTATAATTGGATCTATAAATGGAATTTTCTGTGGTTAGGATTCCTTTTGTTTAAGCTGAATTGTTTGCAATTTTATATCATACACCTTTTTATATTTAAATTTACATAATGTTTTATCTCTTGATTGATTTCCTTAAAAAAATAGGGTTTGCTTTTTGAACTCTAACCAGCATCTTTACTTTATAAAAATTATTTTTTAAACTCAGCTGTGTCATTTTTTTTGTTTTTTTTATTTTCATTTAAGGCAATTTCATTGACAAAGTGCTTCTAAGACTCTAAAGTAATTTAAATCTTCTATTCAAACAATCTCAAATTTTAACTTTTTCCATAAACAAATGATACTGCTGACAATATGCTCGATGAAAAAATCAAAATGCTCAAAGATTAGAGATTTTCTAGGAAAAATTTTATCAATTCAGACAATTCAGAGTGATGAATTTGAAAATCGCTTACTGTAGATTTTATTTTGCTTTAAACTTTTATATTTGATTCTTGTACACTTTCATAATCAAATAGAGTTTATCTCTTTATACTTGATAAAGGATCTGTAACCTAATCACATAAATCTTAAAAACTTCCATGATCACCATCTATGCGACTAATTTCTTACGAGTTCCCAAATATTTTAGGATTTGTCTCTCTTACATTATCATTCCCTTAATCATAGTTTGTGTAAATTTCTAAAGCTTAATTAAAGGAGTAAGCTCTCTCAAGTTTTTTGGTTCCCGTATCGTATTAATCAACTTTGTTAAATATTTCCAAATTTAGTTATGGTGGTAATGTTCTTTCAAAATTTTTCATGAATAATTCAAATTAAATAATGAATAAATTAAAATAAACAAAACAAAAATAAAAATAAATCAAGTGGTGTTTGTTGTTTGATATTAAAAGTAGGATTTTTATAATTCGCATAATTATGATCTGAATTGATGTTGTTATATAAAAGCAATGGAAAAGAAAAACTTCAATTTTTATCATTTCTGGTTCTTTTGATAAGTAGTTTATCTAAAGGGATCAAATTCTCTATTTATGAGTAGAAATGTAGATTGATTTAAGAAGGCAAAGTTTCGCAAAATATTAGAATTAAGATAATTCATTAGTAAAGCTAATTTTGTAAAATGCAGATTGAATGAATAAGAATTTAATGTTGATATAAATCTCTCCTGTTTGGCACCAATTTTCATATGGTGATTGGGACATGCCTATTCGCTTATAGTAATGATTACAGGTCCAGCATTGAGTTGCTAATTCTCAAATAAATAAGATAAAGTTTTGAGATCGTACAATACAAACTGTAAGAAGAAATGCAGGATTTTTGTCAAGTTAAATTGAGAAGACTAAAAAACGGTTTAGATAAATTAGAAGGTTTGCAATATTCAAATCATTGTGATAACTTGATTTCTAAAACCCATTCTAAATTGACTTGTTAAAAATTCTTTAATACTTAAATTTTAACACTAGCTTTTCAAAAAGAAATTAATAACAAACTTTAAGATATAAAATTTTGTAAAGAACAATACTACGAACCTGCGCCATAAATAAAATCCTAACATATTTAATGAATAGTGATTTATACAAGTGTGTTTTGATTTAAATTTTCGATATTAATACTTATGTTTCAACATTATTAATATTTAATTAATTATAAATTCATTGTTTTTTTAATACCAAATTTCTTTAAAAAAAATTTCTGTTTCCTATTAAGACATAGTGATTAATAATTCTTTATCTGATTCAACAATTTAGATAAATATTGCATTTTAAATACAGATTACGTTGAAAGGTACAATAATTTATAAATGAAATTCTTTGCCTTTGAGCTCATTACAATTTCTGAAAATACTTGAAATTTCCATATTGTTACGGAATTATACCGAAATTATATAGAGTTTTGGAAATAATAACAACTAAAATTTATTGATTTTTAGCCAATTTCCCCCATAAACAAATCTAATTCATTTATTTTGAGTTCCAAATGGGTTTATGAAATTAGTTTTTAAACCAAATATATAATTATTCTATCAAAAGAACATTCTAATGGAGGAGCTATTTGATAAATAATTTTATCTATCAGTTATGCATTCACTATTCATATGAATTCTCTTCTGAATTTTTCACTAATTATCATTTTTATTTCTATTTTATAGGATGTATGAACCAATTAATTTAAAAATTATTCATTCTATATTTTTCCTAAAAAATTCATATTTATATTCATTCTAGACAATAAACTTTGGTAAATATGCTGAGGATATATTAAATTGCATGCTTCTATATGAGTAAATAACTAATATCCTAAAAATCCTAATTTGTAGATTAAAATTATCAATAACCTCGATTGCTATAATTAGTAATTGCTACTTTTCCAAGTGGGTATAAACTTAAAAGGGGCATATTTACATATTGTATCACTGCACTTCATATAGTTGTACATTTGTATAACATTACGCCTTCAATCAATTATTAATGATTTATAATTTCTGTTTGGAATGAACTTAGAATTGTCTCACATTTCTTGCCACTGTTTATTCAATTTCTAGGCCTTCTTTTAATTGAATTGTATAATTTCTGAGATAAACAATGCACTTCATGGCAGAGAAATTGCAAAGTTTGCCATTCAATTACTTCTTGTGTTGATAGATGTTATGTTGTTGCTTCTCAATGATATATAAACACACACTTTTTCATTTCAAAATTGTAACTTAAGTGGAACTTCTATATTATTGGAGGAAATGCTTGGTACTCTCTTTCAAGTTAAATTATGAAACCCCTACTGATTACTAATTAAATGTAGTTTAGCTTGCACTAAGTATAGAGTAGGTCTAATTTATAATAAGATCATAAAATTAATCCTTGTATATAAGGCGCCAACGATTATAAATAAGATTTAGATAAAAAATTTTGCTTAATATCTAACTTTTACTCATAAATATGATATCATTTTCATTTCCTTTTAATTTCTTAGTTCATTCCACTCGTTAATAAATAAGCTGTAAAATATATTAACCTTTTTTGGTTTAACATTAGATGACATTATTTATTTCTTAGTATGACTGTAAATTTGCAAATATTTTCACAAATATAATGAATATTTTTCCTATTAATTTTAAACTATAAATGCTTATTGATTTAACATTAATATTTTAAATTACACATATTCCCCTTTATCATTATGTTTATCAAGGTTAAATATATAATTCTAAAGAATGCAGTTTGATTTAAATTATCAAAATTATTAATTTCTTTAAAAGTTCTGGTTTCTAAAAAAATTTGTAATGTTTACAAAATTCGGAGCAATTCTAATTTATTGAATGACAATTCAAGATTATATTTAATCTAAAAGAATATCATTAATTTAAAATAAAACCTAAAGCAATTCAAAAAAATGAAAAAATGATAAAAATTAAACTTCTTAACAAATGTAACTACCACATACACAGAAGGTAAAATACGATTTCCATTACACTAATTAAGTAAAACCATTTTGTAAACCAAAGTCTATTCTTTAAGAAAAAATTGGAAATCAATTGTGTAAATTCAACAAAATAAGTTGACTAAATTAGCCAATAGAAAATTTTTCTATTTTAATCAGTATTTTGTTGGCAATCTTATATTGGGTTTATGAATAATATTTATTACAAAATTATTTAATTAAGAGTTTTATAATTAAAGATATCTTATAAACTTTATAGTGAAATCGTCAAATTAAGAGTTATTCAAGAATTTCGATCTACCTTTGTTTAGTTTGCTAATGACATCAGTTGAAAACTAATTAGTTTATATTTTTTATTTAGGGTCGGGTTAGAACATTTAGATATATCAGTTTTCTTAATGAGATTGATACCATAATACACAAAATTAATAATTTAGACAGGAGCCTGAACTTAAATAATGAAATGATGAAATGATGAATTGTAATATATTTATATAATTTTATAATCATACTATGCGTTATTTTTCAATTTCTAAAAAAAACAATCATATTATTTATGACTTTTTTTTTATCAAGACATTCGCTTTACAATTCTTTCAACTTGAATTTATAATTAATATAAGCCTTAAAACTCCAAGTTGCCTAACGAAAACAAAGTTATAAAATTGTTATTAAAACGGGCCATTATATAATAGGTTATCTTGTATCATTATTTACATAAAATAAATTTCTAGCAAATAAAAGCCAACGATTGAAGTAGCTAGTATTAGAAAAATTAAAGAAGGCATAAAGAACTTTCAGATATAGTGCTTTATTACTTAAGTTTTGTGAGAATTGATCTAGTTTAAATTATTAATTAGATAAATGTTAGGAGATCAAAAGCCAACCTGAACTGGAAATAGGAAATTATTTTTTGCATTTTTTTGTATCCCATATTCACCTTAAAAATTAGGATTTTACCCCTTTCATAAAATATGCAATTTCCTATATTTGGTACTACTCCACATTTAAAGTATCTTATACTTTGATAATTAGTAATACTATTTTAATTAAATCAATTGAATCATAATTAAAAAAAAATATTTTGTACGTGAATCGGCTTTGATGATTTAATTGAGATTAATTTATTTGAATTTCATTAATTAATTTTAATATATAAAGAAAACGATGATCCAACAAGTTTAAGAGGAATCAGAGTCTTTTATCAAGACTTAAAATCCTAGGACAAAATGGACTCCTTAAGAAGATAATGAACTAAAAAAAGGAGTAAAGATTTGTGGAATGAATTGGATTGCCATATCCTTATATGTACATAATAGAAATCCAAATTAATGTGCATAAAGATGGAAACGACTTCAAGGAAAGAGGGTATTATATCTAAATTATCTATGAGAGTAGGACCAATAATTTTTGGAAACCAGAGGAAGATTTAGAACTAGCACTTCTAGTTTAATAATTAGGGAAAAAGTGGACCAAAATAGCTAAGATTGTTCAAAATAGAAATAGTAAACAGTGCCGGGATCGTTTCACTAATACTATTGATCCAGAGCTAAAAAAAAATTGTTTTACCCCTGAAGAAGACTAATTAATTTATGAAAAATACTTAGAATATGGTCCAAGGTGGTCTTCAATATCTAGATTACTCTAAGGTCGATCGGTAAAATAAATGTTTATTTAAGGATAACTAAGTCAAGAACAGATTTTATACAACCATAAGAAGCAAGTACCTGTAGTGCTAAAATCCATATTATTCGAAGCAGGTAGCATGTTCGTCAAAAGAATAACTTGAAAAAGCTAGAGAAGAGCAACTAAAAAAATTGGAATATTTTAAAAAAGAAGAGACTTTGTGGGATCAAAATGAGATGCAAACAAAAGATCAAGATATATCCAAATATATCAGTCAATAAGATCATTCGAACTTTTAGGTTGAATTTTATTCATACATTAATATCGAAGAGGAGGTTTGGAGCTCTGAAAATGAAAATAAATTATGAATTATACAATTCAATTTATAAATTCTAAGTTTCAACATCAAGTTCTATTTTATAGTATTTGTTTAAATTTTGAAATTTCCCTCATAATAGCAATATTTCAATAATTCGATTATCATTTCGTTCGTTTTTAAAATTATATTATCATATTAATATAATCAATTCGTTGCATTATTTTCTATTCAATTATGATTTTCTAAAGTTTGTTATTTATCATTATAACATATTAGAAAATTTAAGTATTAGGATGCATTTGTCGATTGGAAAATGTTGGAAGATTTCGAAACGCTATATCACAAATCTATGAAAAGAATCTAAATAAAATAGTTTGAAATCTTTATAGATTATTGGAGAAGAAAATCTTAAGGATTTTAATATAGTGGCTTGTCAAATGTTGCTCACCAATATCTGACCTAAAAATCAACATAAAATGGATGAATTTAATTTTCCCAATTTAACATCTATCCAATCTCAATAATGCTACTTTTTTTGATGCCTTTATCGTTATTCCATCTTCCTAAATAATCGTTTTTATCTTCTGATGTGAATAACCCCAATCCATGGTTTAAACATTTCACATTCCTATAAACCTATCTATCTTTTTGTTACATTCTTCACAACAAATAGTAGGTCATTTATTATTTTAGACATTAAGGCCAAAATCTGGAACAATTGATATATAATATTGATTTACAAATTAAGCTTTGTTATCAATTAATTTTTCACTAAATTATTTTTTTCTTTAGTATTATTAAGTATTAATTTAACTGATATTAAATTTGGTGAATAATTAAATAAGAGTATTTATCTAGCTATATTGTTTTTGAGTTATTCACTACGACCAAAGGAATGCAAAGAGACATAACTGTCCAGTAATAAAATCGGTATACCAATTATCTCCTACATTGATTCATTAAGGGATTTGTGATCTTTAGAGTTGTGTAGATACAGGGTAAAATTATGCAAACTGATTTTTTAAGATTCTATTTCTTCCTGTAATTTAAAATGTGATGATGATGGGAATTGTGATCCTTTCAAGGTTGTTATTTATTCTCATATGCTTTATAAATTTATAATAAGAGATAATAATTGTTAAGACGTTTATGGAAATTGGTTTAATCGGTTTAAGAAGAATGCAATAACAATAATTGCTTTTCTTTAGATAGATGTTCAGGTACTCGTAATATTGAAAAGCATTGGACAAGTGAGAGAGCATTAGCCATTAAGTTATTCCTTATTTTTTTAATTAATATGCTAAAATAAAATATGTGATATCAAATACTCCTTCCCCTCCCCTCAAGTAATTTCAAATCAAAAATTCAATACTTTTTCTCAGTAATAATATATTGTGAGATTGAAAACTGATTACTCTTTTCTTCAATCTGAAATACATTCTTAATACTCAAGTTTCTATTGTTGGTGTAAAAAAACTCAGAAGTGATAATGTATTTAGAATTATTTGTTCCTCCATCTATTAATTATTTGTCTTAACCCTCCTTACTTCAAAAGACTAACAATTTTGTCTTTTTGTATCAATATTTCATAAAAGAGAAATAATATACTCTGCAAAACTAATTACATTATTTAAATAAGTAAAAATGAAGATGACGTAAATTTTGATTATCCTATCTTGCCTATAAGTGTCAGATAGTTAGTATAGTACCACTCTAAGCTCATATTACTAATATAAGATATTTGATTTTAATAGAGATATTAGAGACCAAAATGAAGCAATTTGTTTTTCATATGGGATTTTTACAAAATATCTTCCTCTAAGTAATTTCTCACAAGTTGGATAAGTAGGCATATTCGATAGCAATTGCTTTCATATTCATAGTGCCGTTGGATAAACAACAGGTTAAATAAACTTTTTATATTATGATTGTTTAGATTTTGAGAAATTTACAATAGAGAAATGGATTTCTTTTATTGGAAGCGATGGTGTAATTTATTAAACATCGCTCCCATTAGACATCTTTACTTATGAAAGTTTTTGGTATTTTTTCAGTTTAATGATAATCCCAAACGAGAATACAATTATTTTAAGTATATAAAAGGGAGAAAACTTGCTATATAATAAAGAGATCAAAATTGAATATCCATATTATGATATGAACCTAGATTTAGTTTTTGGAGGAGGGTTATAATTAAATAGCAACTAAGTCCTTTAAACGCAATATATTTCAAAGCTCTCTTTCTTTCCTGGTTAGATTTCATTAGTGATGCCTTCTTTTTCCTATACTATGGATTTTTGCTAAATTTCAATTTTGTAAAATTTTGGTAAGAATTATAAAAACGAATGCAAATGCATTAAAAATAAAATTTCAAAAATTCCTGACTCAGTAATTTCAAAATTTGATCAGCATTACTTTACATCTGAATATCTAAATTGCAATTTTTTCAATTTGTAATCTTGGATCAGAATCTAAGAAAGAAAATAATATATCAAATATCTTTACTTATAACTGATAAAAGTCTACCCCAACTTTCAATAAAAATAATTGAAGGATGAAAACCTATCACCGTTTTAACTTTATTATAAATTGACTGAAAATACGAATCAAATCATAATAAAAACTTATAGTTACACTCTACCATCCGTCAATATAGACTTTGAAGAGGATCCTTTTTTAATTACTCACACATTTGACATTGATTTAAATATTTAATTATGGCATTACCTAATTGTGACGAAAAACAAGAATTCAATGAAAGTTAACATATTCTTTTATGATGGATTAACAATTTAAGATTATTCTTTTGAAAGCTAAGTGAATCAATTTAACCAAATTCAATTTTAAATATAATACGGTAATTTATTGTAAACTTCGAATGATGCACGAATAGAAATTGTAAACATGAGATTTTTCAATTGTTATGAAAGTACCCTCGAAAATATATAATGTCATACTTCTTGTTTAAAATGCGATGGGCCAACAAAATTTGATTGTTTATCTTGTGATAATTCTTTAAATAGGATTTATATAATTGAAAGGAAGTCGTGCGTATGTCTCATAGGAACAACAGAATAAGATGGGGTATGTAAGAACTATATCAACTTTGATTTAAAAATTGTTGAAGAAATTAAACAAGTAGACAAGTGTTCATATGGTTATTTTGAATTTGAAGATGAATGCTTGAAATGGTATTCATATTCAATAGTTTAGCCCCTCATTGATAAGAGAAAACTAAATAACTTGCATCGAGTGTCTTCTTAATCCAGAAACCTGGATAAGCAACCCGTTTTGTGAATATGACTTTGTAAAAGATAAATTAAGAGGGCCTTTCGAAAAAATAACCAATGGTAGAATAGACTTTATATTTGATGGTAACGAGCTTAAAGTTTGTGAGGATTGTGAAAATTCTCAAGATATATTTTAAGATTATGTTGAGACCAATCATAGTTTTAAAAAATTATGTAACATGTGCAAACAAGATTTANATTGGAAGCGATGGTGTAATTTATTAAACATCGCTCCCATTAGACATCTTTACTTATGAAAGTTTTTGGTATTTTTTCAGTTTAATGATAATCCCAAACGAGAATACAATTATTTTAAGTATATAAAAGGGAGAAAACTTGCTATATAATAAAGAGATCAAAATTGAATATCCATATTATGATATGAACCTAGATTTAGTTTTTGGAGGAGGGTTATAATTAAATAGCAACTAAGTCCTTTAAACGCAATATATTTCAAAGCTCTCTTTCTTTCCTGGTTAGATTTCATTAGTGATGCCTTCTTTTTCCTATACTATGGATTTTTGCTAAATTTCAATTTTGTAAAATTTTGGTAAGAATTATAAAAACGAATGCAAATGCATTAAAAATAAAATTTCAAAAATTCCTGACTCAGTAATTTCAAAATTTGATCAGCATTACTTTACATCTGAATATCTAAATTGCAATTTTTTCAATTTGTAATCTTGGATCAGAATCTAAGAAAGAAAATAATATATCAAATATCTTTACTTATAACTGATAAAAGTCTACCCCAACTTTCAATAAAAATAATTGAAGGATGAAAACCTATCACCGTTTTAACTTTATTATAAATTGACTGAAAATACGAATCAAATCATAATAAAAACTTATAGTTACACTCTACCATCCGTCAATATAGACTTTGAAGAGGATCCTTTTTTAATTACTCACACATTTGACATTGATTTAAATATTTAATTATGGCATTACCTAATTGTGACGAAAAACAAGAATTCAATGAAAGTTAACATATTCTTTTATGATGGATTAACAATTTAAGATTATTCTTTTGAAAGCTAAGTGAATCAATTTAACCAAATTCAATTTTAAATATAATACGGTAATTTATTGTAAACTTCGAATGATGCACGAATAGAAATTGTAAACATGAGATTTTTCAATTGTTATGAAAGTACCCTCGAAAATATATAATGTCATACTTCTTGTTTAAAATGCGATGGGCCAACAAAATTTGATTGTTTATCTTGTGATAATTCTTTAAATAGGATTTATATAATTGAAAGGAAGTCGTGCGTATGTCTCATAGGAACAACAGAATAAGATGGGGTATGTAAGAACTATATCAACTTTGATTTAAAAATTGTTGAAGAAATTAAACAAGTAGACAAGTGTTCATATGGTTATTTTGAATTTGAAGATGAATGCTTGAAATGGTATTCATATTCAATAGTTTAGCCCCTCATTGATAAGAGAAAACTAAATAACTTGCATCGAGTGTCTTCTTAATCCAGAAACCTGGATAAGCAACCCGTTTTGTGAATATGACTTTGTAAAAGATAAATTAAGAGGGCCTTTCGAAAAAATAACCAATGGTAGAATAGACTTTATATTTGATGGTAACGAGCTTAAAGTTTGTGAGGATTGTGAAAATTCTCAAGATATATTTTAAGATTATGTTGAGACCAATCATAGTTTTAAAAAATTATGTAACATGTGCAAACAAGATTTAATTCAAGAAGATTGCTATCCAAATATTATGTAAAATTGTAATAAATGTGAAATCTAAATATCGAAATTTATGTGCTTAAAATGCCAGTTGAGTATGATTTTAGAAAATGAAGTGTGTAAATACAAAAGTATTGGAAAGAATTCTAAAATTTGTTAAACTCCTTATTATGAAACCATGGATAAGAATTGTAACTTATGTCCTATTGAGAATTGTCTTTATTGTTTTGAATACCTACAAGATGATTACAAATAAAACACTTTATTTAATTAAGATCAATTCAGTAAAATTGATAAGTAAGTATTGGTAGGGTGTGCATAATGCTTAGATGGGTTTATTTATGATTTTACAATTGGCTTATGCATTTACAAAGAACCTATAATATAGAATTGTCTGAGATCATTTATAAACCAATAAGGCACAGAGTTATGTACACTATCTACTGAAGATGATTTTACAATGGCTCCTGAATTATATGATTGTTAAAAACTCATTCTTAATTGTAGATAATGTTTATAGACTCTTGATTCTATTTTAAAGTGTATTATTTGCGAAGAGGGTTATGCTACCTCTATTAGCTCAGGTTTGTGCATAAATTTTCAAGCCAAGAATAATGAAAAACACATTGTTTTATGGCATGATTTCAACTTTTGGAAAATATCTGTCCAAAGTTTTTCAATTTTATTTATGAACACGAATCCAATTAATCTATCAAATTTGAGTTAGTTTTACACTTACCCTATTGAATGTTTGAGTGGTTATTCAATAATTCAAAAAGAATGCATAAAATATTGCAACAACATTTGCTAGGATTGCCTAAAACTAGAGATGTTAGGAGAATTTAAATGTACTTAATGTTCTGAAAATGANGATGGGGTATGTAAGAACTATATCAACTTTGATTTAAAAATTGTTGAAGAAATTAAACAAGTAGACAAGTGTTCATATGGTTATTTTGAATTTGAAGATGAATGCTTGAAATGGTATTCATATTCAATAGTTTAGCCCCTCATTGATAAGAGAAAACTAAATAACTTGCATCGAGTGTCTTCTTAATCCAGAAACCTGGATAAGCAACCCGTTTTGTGAATATGACTTTGTAAAAGATAAATTAAGAGGGCCTTTCGAAAAAATAACCAATGGTAGAATAGACTTTATATTTGATGGTAACGAGCTTAAAGTTTGTGAGGATTGTGAAAATTCTCAAGATATATTTTAAGATTATGTTGAGACCAATCATAGTTTTAAAAAATTATGTAACATGTGCAAACAAGATTTAATTCAAGAAGATTGCTATCCAAATATTATGTAAAATTGTAATAAATGTGAAATCTAAATATCGAAATTTATGTGCTTAAAATGCCAGTTGAGTATGATTTTAGAAAATGAAGTGTGTAAATACAAAAGTATTGGAAAGAATTCTAAAATTTGTTAAACTCCTTATTATGAAACCATGGATAAGAATTGTAACTTATGTCCTATTGAGAATTGTCTTTATTGTTTTGAATACCTACAAGATGATTACAAATAAAACACTTTATTTAATTAAGATCAATTCAGTAAAATTGATAAGTAAGTATTGGTAGGGTGTGCATAATGCTTAGATGGGTTTATTTATGATTTTACAATTGGCTTATGCATTTACAAAGAACCTATAATATAGAATTGTCTGAGATCATTTATAAACCAATAAGGCACAGAGTTATGTACACTATCTACTGAAGATGATTTTACAATGGCTCCTGAATTATATGATTGTTAAAAACTCATTCTTAATTGTAGATAATGTTTATAGACTCTTGATTCTATTTTAAAGTGTATTATTTGCGAAGAGGGTTATGCTACCTCTATTAGCTCAGGTTTGTGCATAAATTTTCAAGCCAAGAATAATGAAAAACACATTGTTTTATGGCATGATTTCAACTTTTGGAAAATATCTGTCCAAAGTTTTTCAATTTTATTTATGAACACGAATCCAATTAATCTATCAAATTTGAGTTAGTTTTACACTTACCCTATTGAATGTTTGAGTGGTTATTCAATAATTCAAAAAGAATGCATAAAATATTGCAACAACATTTGCTAGGATTGCCTAAAACTAGAGATGTTAGGAGAATTTAAATGTACTTAATGTTCTGAAAATGATTATTACTGAAGTATATTAGGTTTTCCTTTATTCAATATATTTTTCAAGAAACTTATTTAATTCTAATAGAATAATTTTAGAATTTCTTAGGCAATGCATTTAAAATTTTTGAAAATTTTTAAAGATGGAAGAAGTAAATTAACAATTTAATATTCTTAGTCTTGATTTTAATTCATTCCAATATTTTTTCTCTGATTTAATTATGGAACATAGATTCATAAAGATTTTATTTTATTTTTTTGGCTTTGAGAATACTAAAGTTTTGAGAATTAAACAAACTATTAAATTATAAAATCTTTTCATTTTTATTTTGAATCCTTTCCAAATTTTTTAAATGAATCATTAATTAATCTTTGCAACCTTATAGAGATCATTATTTAATTTTGGTTCCAGTAAGGGTTTATTCTGGGGTTTTTGATTATCTTAGAAATATATTTTTATATTCAGATGACTTGATTCAAATAAAGAAACCCTAAACTCATATTTTTATTCTAAGTAGTTCTGCTGACTTAAAAAATAACCCTTACCTTAATTTTTGAATAAATGAATAAATGTATTTTAATTGAAAATATTTCTTTGTTTTAAAATATCTATTGCTAATAAAAAGATTGGAAGGAAAAATAATTAGACTAATATTCTTTCAATAAACCAAGTCGATTCGCTTCTAACTGAAAAAAAATTCATAAATTAGAAACACAATTATAGAATCTATTTTTATTTCCCTAACAGAGGCTGATCAAATATGATCTCAATTGATTTTATATACCAATTTTGCATTTAAATATTGATTCGGGTTAGAGTAAGATATATAAGGAATTAAAAGAAAAAAAGATTAGGATTAAACTAAAATAAGAAGAAAATGATCCTGCATTTAGGCTTTCAAAGGACGATTTAGAGTAGTATTTGCTTATATTATTAGAATTCTTAAAACATTAATTAAATTGATGGCAATATTTTTTAAGGATTCCAGAACAATTCAAATAAGGCTAAAGTAAAATTATTAATTGGAGGCTGAAAAAATTCAATAATAACTACAATCTGTGAATAGGTCCATAATTTGTTTAATTAGTTCTCTGAAAATAAATTTAATAATCAATTTAATCAATAAATCAGTATTCAATCAAGAGATTTAAAAAAGAATAAATTTATTGAATAATTTTTTAATTATCTCAGATTAAAGAATCATTAATTAAATTTTTTTTTCATTATACGTTAGTAATACCTACAACCCTACTAAGTTCTAGAAAATGGATAATGTTTAGTTTGCCCTTCCTTATGTTTGATTTGTCAAACTAGATATAATAATAATCTTTTGGTATTTTTAATTGGTATTTTAGAATGTGAATCCATTTTTCATAATAGATAACACCAATATCCTATACACTAAACAATGTATTTAAAGTATTAGCAATTCTAATATCAAAATTGATCCATATATATAAATTGCTCATGCTACTTATGGTGATGATAGTTAAAATGCTTTCGAATTTTATGTAATAAATATCAATAGACTTTAGATTGTCTGGGTTTTTGATATTCATTTCAATTTGTTTTTGAAAGATGAAGATGGTTTTTTTGAAAATAAATTTGACTTCCTTTATTTTAATGAAATTGGATTATAATAATTTATTCTAATAATTGAATTCACTTGGCCTGAAGAATTTGGTTATGCAGAATTTGAATCTTATTTAATCACTAATTCGTTTAAAGAAAAAGTGTTTTCAATCTAATTGGTTATTTTAAAAGTAACGGGAGAGCTAATTCCATTCAATAATAATTTATATTAAATTTAAAACTTTGATTAAGCTGAAATTTATAATCTATTAGTACTAATGGAAGATTGTTTCTTCTTTGAATTTCAAAATAGAGGAAAGCCAATTGATTACAAAATATTGAACACTACTTTTTTTTCCAAATAAATTAGACCAATAGATATTAATATATAAATGGATAACTTAAAGTCCTTAATTATGCATAATGTTACCATTCTTGATGCTACAATTAGCAATTCTATTATATTTGGAATAAATTCTTCGAGTTAAAATGGTAATATTCTGATTGAATAGCTATACTTTAGAAATTGTATTTTTAATAACACAGTTTTGTTCAAACTAAAAACTGAGTAAAAAAGAATAATAATCCAAGACTTTTTTATAGAATATTGCTAATTTTACAATTCCTCACTTTTTGTATTTTAATAAGTTGGAGAATTTTAAACTTCTATAATCATTAAATCAATAGTCATGAAAAAATCATTATTGTTTAATTCTTAATTTATCTAGAGTGATCTTAAGACTGAGTTATTTCTTTATTCATTTGAGTACATTGAAAACTAAATTACAAATTCACAAATCATAAGTTTTAGTGCTGATGTCTCAGGCTTTAATTTTAGCTTGATATCTAATGAAATTATTGAATCAATATTGTTTGATTAATTCTTTTAAAATTCTTTGAAATTTAAAATAGATATTGATGAAATTTCTTTATCTTCCAATGTATTCTAAAACTTTTAAGTGCTTGTTATTGATTAATAGCTTTAGCTATACTCAATAGAATTAAAGGATATGATATTCAAGGACAATATTAATCCTTAAAATTTCATCCAAAATCATTTATTTAAACTCACTAGCTCTAATATTTTGATATAGAATGTTATGATAATAAATACTATCAATCTTCGTTACATTTACTTATTTAATATCACTAAAATTATTATAAAGAATGTAACTGTTTAAAATCCACGTTAAGAATATATGATTCCGCTTTTTTAAGAGTGTGTGATTAATAAATAATAGCATTCATAATTATTATATGTTTAAGGATTTTAGAGCCTATATTTAGGTTTCATAAAATTCCTGAATTAAATCACTATTGATTATTCTGCTATAGAAATTTTCTCAAACCCACTGACCCTTAAAGAGGAATAAGAAAGTATTTTGATATAAAATATTACATTCATAGGAAACATCTTGATGAAAATAAATAAAGGTTTAATTTTGTCAATTTTCTCAATTTATTCTGAAAAGACATAATATATCTAATTTGAAAATGTTTTTTACCAAAATAATACTTATAATTAATATATTGCAGATCCTAGTTAAAGTTCAGCTAGTTTACTATTTATAAGCTCGCTACAAAGTACTGTAATCCTTTAGAATGTTGAGTGTTTTGAGAATTCACTTACAAATTCTTCAAATACCTTTATTGTTATTAATTCAAAAACTACAAAAATAAAGTCAATTTCAGTTTTCCATCATAATTATTTAAGAAAGGAATTCTGGAATACCTATTACAAAATTCAATTGCAAAGTAACCTTAATGAATTAGAGATCAATTACATAATCACAAAAACTCTCGGTATAAATAACAAAGGTGGAGTAATGTCAATTATTGTTGACTAATTCACCTTAGAGGATGGATTATTTTAGTACCTTATTGCAGAAAGTAGTTCTGTTTTTGATATAACTACTTAAGGAACTGGAATTATTAGAATGGATGGTTGTAATATAGCTCACGTATCAAGCATTTTGTATTCAGATTCAGAATAAGATGGATCGATCAGCATTAACTCAAAATTGAGCGATTTAAGTTTGAAATTAACGAATTTTATCTTTTCCTACATTCATAATAATTTTGCACCAGCTCTCTTCTCTATATCAACTTCAAAATTTACTAATAATATCATAATTAAGAATGTACAAGTACTAAATTGTTTCTCTTTGATAAACTTATTTACATCTTTAGTATTTACCTCAGAAAAAGCTCATTTAAATAAAGTTACTCTAGAAAACATTCTTATCTAATAAAGTTATGAAGCATTAATAGATTTCAACCAATAGCTGCCGTAATTGGATTCTGCAATATTAACAAAAATTCCCAAAGACAATGCCATTCTTAATATTGTGGGATGTAAATTAAAAATGAATGATATTGTAATTGAAGGAATTGTTCTCTCTTCTATATTCCAATTAATAGACTGTTAGGAAATATCATTAAAGAATATTCTTTTTTATAATATTATCCTATTTTACTCATTTAACTTTCTTGATATTCAACAAAATGAATAATTTCACTCCATAATATAAATCTAAAACCTAACAACTCAAAACTTACTATTTTTTAATAGCAAAGGCCTGAATTGTATTCAATTGATTTATCCAAATTTTAGTGTTCAACAAAGGATTTGCAATACTTTTAATCCTTTACAATAGCATATTATGATGGAGCCAATTTAAACAGAATGTAATAATTTTGAAAAGTTAAAAGAATCTTAGACACAAAATGGATCAATATTATCAATGAAATGCAGGAATAATCAAACATAATTCTATTTGAAGAGTATCCATTTCATAAATAACGATTGCAAATTCTGTAGCAATGGTTTAATCAATTTTGATGTTAGTGATTTTAAGAGGGTAATAATTGATGAATTCTTGTGTTTCGGAAACATTATTCAGCAATTTGGATGCCTCTTTGCCATATCTGAATAATAAACACAGGGAAGGTTGCATGTTTATAATTCTCTATTCATAAACAACTCAGGTACTCAAGGAATCGCCATGTCTTCAATAAATGTGAAAACTTTCTTGTAAAATATAAGGATTACGAATAATGTTGCCAGTTCATTAGGAGGAGGAATATTTTTTGATTTAAATAGCATTTAGTTTTTGATAAGATCAGCTTTTATTTAAAATAATAGTGCAAGGGAAGGTGGTGGAATCTATTTAAATGGAAATAGCATTTTAAACAAAGAGAACTTTTATGATTCTCTTTTAATTCTTAATAATGCTTAATTATCGACCAATAATCTGCAAGAATTGCCCTCTCATCTAGATCTATCAATAAATTATTAAATTTTACCTTCAAAATTTAAAACAATCAACTCGATACCAACAAGCACATTAAATTTACATCCATATAAAATACTCCAATAGGGTAAGCCAATGATCACATAAACTTTGATGATACCTAGCAACCAAGAGATGTCCAAATATACAATTTATAATTAATAAAAGTAAAATTTTATTTCATATTTAATCGAAGTGTCAATTTAATTTAAAAATCAGTTAAACGAATAACTATTAAATTTTTCCAATTCAACTTGTTAAGTTGTGTAATCAATAATTAATCTTCATACCAAAACAGTAAATCAAACAAACATTTCATTATTTTATTTTGATCAAATGACAAATAATTTCAATTTGGGAACATTAATACTTACTTAGGATCCATATAAATAATATGAGGAGGAGCATATAATCTAATTATATTGCAAAACCAAATACCAGACTTAGGAATTATAATATAATATAAAAACAAAAAGCTTATTTTGCTAATTAGGTGAATTTTATGTCCAAAATGGTTGTTCAGTTTGTTAATCTTTATAAGGCTTTTATTCTGTTACTTACAATACCTCTAAATGCTCAATATTCGATAAGATCAAATTTGATGAAATTACTTCTAATAACATTAAATTAAAACCTGGGTATTGGAGACCTCACCATGAATCTGATATAGTGGTAAATTGTTTTAAAAGGTTTTAATCATGCTAAGGGGGATGGATTGTAGGGGATGATCTATGCAATACTGGATACATGGGAGCAATATGTGAGGAATGTGATAAATATAATATAAGAGGAGATGGATATTATTTTAAAAACAATGAAAATTTGTCATGCTTAAGTTGTGTTGACACTTCACTTAATTTCTTATCTTTCATTCTCTTAGGAATTTGGTATTAAATTAAATAATTTTAGGTCTATTTTATTAACTCTTATAACTTTAAGAAGTGTAGAAAAAACAAATTAATTATTTACATCATTGAAACTTTCTTAAAGATTGCCTCATTTATTGTTCAAGTTTAATTTAGGTAAATATTAAGATTTCATTTTTAGATTAAGAGAGCATCTTATTAAAACTTTATTTAAATTACACTTGGATATTTTCTGTAATTTTTAAATTCAACATTCAATTCTCCTTTTCTTTCATCTTTATTAACACAATGACTGATACATCCTATTTTATGTCTCGAAATTTAGACTGTTAGCTTATCCAATAAATGTTCCCTGAATTGATATATACTAGAGTAATAGTGATGCTTACTTTCATAATTTTTCAAATTGCCTTGATTTAATTTGGAGTCAATATTTTTTTTATTGTTAAAAAAGCCAAGTTATAGGGCAACATACTTTCAATTACCTTACTTTATGGGTATATATAGAATTATGCTTCATTAATCAATCAGTATAATATTAATATATTCTAAGGCTATCCTCTATTTAGGCTAAAAGACAAATCTCCTCTATTAATTATGTTTAAGGAGATGTCTCACTTTTATTAGATTCATATAATCATTAGCAATGGATATATTATTTTGCAATACCTTTGTTATCGCTGATTGGTTTGATATTACCAATTTCCTTACTTTGCTTTATGTACATCAAAAGAGGAGTATTAAATAAAATCCCATTGAGAAGACATATTAGTTACTTATTTAACGAATATAAGATGAATTGCTTTTATTGGGAATGGATGAAATTGTGGAAGAAAACAATTATTATTATCATATTAATTTATTTTGAAACAAACATCTTTTTAAAGGGAATATTAATAGGAATTTGCTTGATATTTTATTAAATAATCACTTCATTTTGTCAACCATACATTTATGAAAAATTAAACAAATTGGATTTGTAAACAGGATAATGTTGTTCAATAGCAATTTTCTTCGCCTCAGTTTAATACATTTGCTAATAAGAAGATGAGAATGTTATTGCAAAAATTGTATAAATGCTTATAATGCTTCTCTTCTTAAGGCTAAGTTATCCAATAATGTCAAATATTTTGGTTATTTATTATAGGAAATATAAGGTGTAGGTGGTTCAAGGCTTAGTTGCGATTTTAAGAAAATCGTCATTAAAATAACAACTAATTTGGAAGCTAAATGACAAACTAGATAAATGGAAATAGAAAAAGGATAGAGTTTATAGAAATTTCAAAAAAATGAAGGAACTTACAATTTCTAAAAATTGTTAAGAATCAAAAATGTAAGCCAATAAATAGAAACCATTTTTGATAATTAAAAAAAAAAAGTGATATTTTAATTGTACAAAAAAAGTGCCAAGCAAATGAATTTAATAAAATATTATAGATATCATTTATTAAAAAAAAATTCACTTAATACTAATTGTTTCATGCATTTGATCAAGGACAAAAAAATCTCTAGTAATTACAATTCTTTTAAGAATTAAGTCATACAAATTCAAATAAACCATCTATCCTACAACATGTGAAACAGAAGTGATTTTTGATGAATAATCTTCAGCTGCCAGCAAACAATAAGTTGAACATATAAAGATTACTTGAAACCTGAAATAAAGAAGCGTCACGCCAATCAGTGAATTCAGTGGTTGAATTTAGGTTGCTTACGTCAATTACATATATTAGAGATAGATGAATATCAAGAAATTGCAGGCTTACTATCATATCGAAAAAAAAAATTTTTTATTATATAAAAATTCTTCCAAAATTGGTTACGAGGCCTACCTTGATCCAAGGTGAGACAGGATTCTTAGGTTAGAATTTATGGGTGAATATCTTGTTGGGACAGTCATATCCTGTTTGAGCTATTCTTGGAATGGATCTAACTTCTTGAAGGCAAAATGAAGGTGGTAATCCTTAGATCACCTTATGGATTGCTCTCTTAAGCATCATTAAGGGTTAACTAATGTTAAGCTTCTAGATTTTGGACCAATCCAAAAGACAGCTAGATATGGACTCATAGGAATTAATTATGACATTTCACATATATAATGGTAAGTATGGAAAAGCTGAGCATTGATTTGCTCTAGAGTTATTCTTAAAACTTAACATTTTGTAGTCATCATCATATCATTTTAGTAAATTTTTAGAGTTTTCAGGTGCATAAAAAGAAGAATTCATAAATTAATGGTATAAAATTCGCAGACTATACGTCCATAAGTGTCTGCATGGGACCTCCTCATAATTGGTAGCTCAAGTTGAAAGGTTTAAAAAATTGCAGGGGTAAAGGATACAGAATAAGATTAATGCATGTCCAATTGTTAAGTCGCTGTGAAAATGAGTTATATAAATAAGGATGCTCTTGTCCATATTGAATTTGAGCTATATTATCTGTAGCCATCGCAAAAAATTTACATGTAATTGTGACACAAATTTTGCAGTAATTTTTAAAGAAAAATGATAGTTCATTGACAAATTTAACTACAAAGATACCTCAAAATTAAATATTGATTGTTAGGACAAAAAAATAACTATTACGTTGGCAACCTAAATTATTAATAGTATTAACTTCAAACTCCTCGTTATTTACAATTATATAAAGGTCAACTATGAATAGAAAACAACAGAAAATAAAGCTCGACATATATGAATTGGTATTGAAACAATAGCCATCAATACGATGAAGTTGCTAAAGACTCTCAAGAAGTCAACAGAATTTTGGAGGTTTCTCAAGGAATGTCTGAGGAAATCCATATTTTTTAAGACAAGAGATTGAAGAATATAGTTCAAAATCAACTCATTAAAAAGATTCTCAAAATTCAATAACACCTTTAGATTGAATGCTAACCATAGTTGATGTCATATGATCAGAATTATTGAACTAATTATCTGATGTCATAACATCGTCTGCAACAGTTTTAAGTTTCACAACTGATCTTTTTCAATTAATTACCTCTTAATTAGATCTAATTTTGCTGGGTAATCAATTTGAATTGCAAATATTACTTCACAATTAGCATGATTAAATTTATCTGTTTGAAAACTTATTATACATTTGAATAAAACCACCATAAAATCCAGATGACCTTAGTTGGATAAAACCGCACACATGGATTTAGTCTTTAAAAAAGGATAAAGATTAGTATCTGAAACCTGATGTTAAGAGGACTCAATTTATTTCGTAGCCATTTAGCGTACTAGCAACACTAGAAATTTTATCCAAAGATGTACCATCAGTGTAAAATGGCCACAAAGACATCTGAATAGTTTAGAGATTGTTAAGAACATTGCTTTATAAAGAACTTTTAATCTATGCATCTTGTGAAAAAGCTCAGTGTTGTCAACTAGATCCTCTTCACAAATGTACATGAAAGGAATGATAAGGATTTGTTTTAATTGCAGAATAACAAAGCAGTGCTGGTATTTATGATAGTATTTTGAACATCCAGGAAATTAAATCAAGGAAAAGAGGAGGAAAATTTATTCTATCCAATATCATTACATCACTAAACTAGTTATCAATCCAATTCTATTCGAATGGTTTCCTTTCAAAAATGTTTCAAAATTCAAAGTTGCATCAAGTGGGACTGGCTGAGGTTGATTTTACTTGTCCCGAAGAAAAACAACCTCAACGAGAAGGCAACGAGTCCCGGTCCCTACAGGAAGACCTTCTGGTGGAAGCCCGACTGTTTTGCTTGACTCGTTCTGCCTGTTGGAGGGTGGAAGCCCGACTG